TCTGAAAAAACGTCCACGCCTCCTTGGGAGAGGGTCTGATTACATGATACCACTTCAGCTGCAAATGTGAGGACTGAGTTGTAATTGCTGTCAGTACTATTTAACGTGTTAAAAGCGGTGTTAATGAATGCGAAGCATTGGTTGGCCCCCTAACCCTAACCCCTAACCCTGACACCTAACCCTAACACTAACACCTAACCCCTAACCCTGACACTTAACCCCTAACCCTAACACCTAACCCTAACCCCTAACCCTAACACCTAACCCTAACACCTAACCCTCACACCTAACACTAACCCCTAACCCTAACACCTAACCCTCACACCTAACCCTAACCCTCGGTAACCAGAAATGACTCCAAATGAAGAAGAAGAAAGTTACGGAAGAAATGTTACACCACATCTGAGTACAGTTGACTTACACTTTGTTAAGTCATTTCAACCCAAATGCTGATAATCCTTCACAGATTGAGCTTTCATCATTTTCAGAGCAAATTCAAACTGATCCATCGCTCTCTTGTCTCACATAATGTATTGATCTGGATCTGCAGGGGACACATTCCGTAAGGACAACAGTTTCCTATGTAAAGATCAATAGGATCTCCACATATGATCCTGTTTGACACAAAAAAAAAAAAAAACCTTTTCCCTTAGAGACTTTGCCCCCGAGCGATGCCTCGGGTCCAAAGACTGTGTCATTTTGTGAAGAGACATGCGCTCGCCGCTTTTGGCATTCATACTGAAGTGGGAAACAGAAGGGTTGGAGGGAACAAGGCAGGAGGTGGATCTGGGTTCTTAGTCTTGCCCTTTTCCTCACCCCCCCCCCACCACTTGCTGCCAGCCGTTGCCAATCGAGCATTGCTCCTATTTACAGACATCTTGTGCGCCGCAAATCCTGCCAGGCTGTTCCTCACCCGTTCTCTTTATTGGTATCTCGTTAGGTAGTCTGTTAAGGCCGATATTAATGCTGTTTGGATTGAAGGAGACAATTTGCCTCCCAACTTTATTTTTCTCGGGGTGGTAAAGTCTTTGAAACAGAAGAAGAACACGGGGCCGAAACACGGGAGACGCCACAACTGCTGTCCCCGTAATCGTACCATTGATTTTGGCACAGATTGAGAGTTGAAGAGGGTGTCGATGACCAATATTGATCAACTTCAACCATCACATCAGGCAAGGATCAATGCTCGCTGGATTTGAAAAAGCAAGTTGATAAAATGAATTCATTAAAATGAGCGAACCGGCAGCTACACTCCCTTATTAGGGACAAAATCTCCGTCCATCGTCTCCACTGACTTCCTGGTCTCAGAAACAACTCTGTTTGTTCTGATGTCACTGCAATCAGGAGAGGTCGTGGCTCCATTCCGACGGCACACAAGCGGCCCGTTGAGCTTCCCTCCTCTTTCCTTTCTCGTTGAGCTGCCGTCTCGGGGCGTGTCCGGCGACGCGTCGTCACCGACAGCGGAGAGTAAGGGACGCTCTCCGGTCTGTTGATCTGGTTGTTGCGCGCGTGCACGCGTCTCAAGTATTGATTTGGAAAGCGAAACGTCGCTCACTACGTAACGATAAAGTGGAGCGTGGCTGCGGTTGCAGAAGTGGCCTTCAGGTATTGTCAGATACTTTGTCTGAGCAGAGAATGAAGCCACTCTCCCTCTGCTTGCGTTAAAATCTAGGGCATGTGCTACGAAGCAAGCTCAACACACCCCGGGTATGTTTTGGTTATCGCTCTCAACCAACGCCAACGCACTCGCCTTTAAATCCAATCAAATCGCTTTGACATAACGGAACACGTGCCTGACTCATCTCTCACCGGAGAGACGACCCTGACCTTTGCACTGGCCATTTGCAGTTGCTTGTCATTTGTTTGCGATGCACAGGACAAATTAAAGGGTGTTCTCCTCCACAGTAAATCAATCAGAATCACAGCGGCAGCAGCAGCATCGCGGTCAGAGATGAACCGGTGATGCAGCCTCGCGGTTTGTGGGATTGATGCTGTTCCTGCTCATGTTGTGTCCGTGCCATTTGGTAGACGCGTGTGTATAGGCTGCTAATGAAAGGAGGGGAAGGCGGAGGACTGGGGTGCATTTGGAATTGGTGGGATACAGCTGGACGGAGTTGGAGACTGGGGTGAATAGGTAACCATGGAAACTCTGTTGGCAAAGATTTAAATGCGGAGAGAAAGAGAGAGGGAGCGAGCAAAGGGGGGGGAAAAGGATGTGTGTGTTTGTGTGCAGTGGACGGAGAATGAAGTGGGGTTAAGGGTTAATGTGCATCATTGTAGGAGGTTAATCTTTCATCAAACTGCGAGGTCAATGCAGCGTTTACCCCGGGCCAGTGGACACGACAGAGCGGAGGCACGGGGAGAAAGTAGTGGTAGTCAGGTAAGAGGTGTAAGGCATCTGGAGAAGGAGGAGGTTAAATGAATTCACTTTTTAGAAAAGGAGATGGGAAAAGGGGGGGGGGGGGGGGTGGCAAGGGAGATGAGGAGCGGAAGCAGGGAGATGGGATGAGGGAAGGAGAGTTAGAGGCGGTGGACTATTGTAACATGCGGCTGGGGACGGCAGCGAGGGAGAATACAATCAACCGGTCTGTAACCAGCTGTCAGCTCCAACTAGTCTCAGTCTGCTCCGTGGACTCTCGCTCACCACCCGAGCCACCGTCCTAACCTCAGCCTCCACCGGCTTTTTACAAAAACATTTTTTACTTTTCCTTTTTTTTTTGGGGTTTGTTTGTTGCACCTTATTTCCACTCAGACGCCGTCTACCTGAAATAGCTTTGGCACTTAAATCTCGCTGCTGACGAAAAGCGAGGAAAAAGAAGGAGGAAAAAAAAAAAAAAGAAGGTGGCTGGAAAAATCAAAATACATAAAAAGGTGAATCAATCCAAAAATAACACTCGAGTGCCTCTCCGCCCATGCGGTGCGATGGAGATGACGGCGGGATACAGACGAGCAGCGGTTGCGGGGCAGCGCCGGCTGCTGTCCCGGGAGGACTGCTGCGGCGCCGTCCCGCTGCACCGGTGTCCCGCTCCGTCTGATCAGAGATTCGGCTGCCGACATGATTTATCGCGGTGTCATTCAACCACTGCTTTCGCATTATGGATCAATCTCACCCACTACCATCCAGACCCACCTCTCCCCCCCCCCCTCTCTCTCTCCCCCTCTGCCTCCTCCACATCTGCACCTGTTTCATATTCCTCCCTCTGTATTTTCTTGCCTCCGTCGCTCTCTGCTTTATATGCTCTCTGTGTTGTCATTCCCCTCCCTCCATCTCTGTCTGTTTTATATTCATCTCTCCGTTGAGCCCCCCCCTCACCCCTCCTCCCTTCCTCCTCTCATTCTCACCCTCTCTATCTCCCGTTGAGTGAAAGATTATTAATATCAATGCCTCTCCTCTTCTCTCCCTCCTTATTTTCCCCCTTCTACTTTTTTAAAAATCTTTCTTGTACTACTGTTCTCTTTTCTGCTCCGGACACTATTTATACCTCATCATCCCTTTCACTCAACCTTCCCTCCATCTGTCTCCGTCTCCGTCTCCTTCTTTCTCCGGCCGCGCTCTCTGCAGCTGTTCAGTATTCATCCATTACTGTAGTGTTGATAATTCTCTTCTCTGCCTGCAGCCATACAGTCATCTATCAGATTGATAATCTTGCACCCCACCTCCCCCCCCGTCATTTTCTGCCTCCCCCCCTTCCCCCCTGTCTCCTTCCCTGTGTGCCAAGTGAGGATGCTCAGCGAGTCAAATGGGTTTGCATGTCAACGTCCCACCATTACAACTATCATCGTTAACAACCGTATCTAGATTGCTGGATGCCCTCATTAAGGCCGTTGGGGTCTGAATAACCTGCAGAGGGGGGAGAGAGGCTGCCGGTGCCTGACTTGAGCCGGCCATCTATTAGTGTTAATGTACTGCACCATGCGCCACCACTCTCCAGCCCCTAGAGAAAGCAACGCTGTGCAAGAATGGAATCAGCATTACGGTCCAAGCACCGCGCCTCGGCTCAGTCAGTATCTTATTGTTTTCAGGGTTTGGGACCAGTTTGGATGAGTGTGAGTTGAATTAAAGTGTTTAGAATGGCAGGTTCAAACATGATTGCCTAATACACGTGTCCCATGTTACCTGCATGTTGCTTTCTGTCACAAGGTGTTTGTCTTACTGATTTTTTTTAAGTCCCTTATAAAGTAATCATCATTTTTAATATTATTATTGCTAGAAATAATGTAATTAAGTCATTTTAATGAAGGTATTTTGACGTCAAGGCTTGACACATTTGTTGCTTTTTCCTGTCAGATCAAATGTACTTCAAGTCAGACTACTTAAGTAAATGTCATCATTTTCCTCACTTATGGTGTATTTGCTAAATTGGAACTGGAAAAACATTAGTGATGTTTCATAAGGTCACCTTCTGCTTCTGAACTTTGTGTTAGTTGGACTCCTGTATCAGTTTCCCCTCGCTCTGCATTCCCTGGCCCTTTTTCACTTGCATGATTTACAGATTCATTTTGAATTAATATAGAATATTTCTATATTTTCAGCATAATCCCAGTGAAAAGTGGCCTTAGGAAACTAGTTTAATGTGTGATGGAGCTCATTTGTTTCACAACAGTGATAGCAATGTGTTAAAAAATGAATGTCTCTCTGATTTATTCATGTTTATATGCTAAATACAGTGCTGTAAAGAACGAAATACCATTTTGTCCTACTTTTGATTGCACGTTTTCCATTTTCTGTTTCATCTCCTTCAACCATTAATTACAGAAGCCCGCTTTCACCTGCCCTGCATGTAACCATTTGATTACTGACTAAATGTCTGCTGGATTATGTGGGATTTGATATGAGCAGTGACACAGAAGTTCTCTTTTTTTTTTTTAAATCCCTCCAACGATAAGCTACATAGATGTCTACCTGTTATTTGTTCTATTCATTCTCTTTCTGTGGAAACATGAAGCGCAGTCTGCGTTCTATCTTTAATACCAGCTTTCTCTCTCTTGTTCTTCCGCAGTAACTCCTGGGTTCTTCTCACTTCACAAAAAGCCTCACCCGAATCCCCAGACAACGCAAGAAAAAAGGGAATAACATCTGTTTATCTGCATATTCCTATGTTCAAAAAACGAGAGGAGAAAACACAGCGATCGACAGAGGACAGAAGACATCTCAGAGGATGCGGAATTAGAAAGAACAAACTGCGTCTGGAGGACCAAAGGGAAAATAAACCTTTTCTCTGGAATCCACCAGCGTGGAGTCACCTCACCTGTACCTTCGGATTAAAGAACAGGGTCATGTCCCAGTTGCCATGCGCATCGCCACGCTGACCTGCCTTCCCGGCCCTTCCCCCTTCCTCTTTCTATTGGCCCAGCTGCTAGTGCGGCTCCTCCTCCCCGGGCCGGAGTCGGTGGGAGCCGCCTCCCCCTGCCCCTCCCTCTGCACCTGCTCCAACCAGGCCAGCCGAGTCATCTGCACCCGGCAAAACCTGGAGGAGGTGCCCGAAAGCATATCGGTCAACACGCGATACCTCAACCTGCAGGAGAACTCGATACAGGTGAATATGGGCTGGAGGTGGAATCGCGTCAGTGCACTTGATTCCCAACCGCTCGATGGTTTATGTAACGATTCGCTTTTTAATCGCAACCACGTTACAAAACAAATAGAAAAACATTTTTTCAGCATTTAGCCTGATTGACACATATTAATCCATTTATTGATTTTTGTTTTATCAGAGGGATCATTTGCATGCGCAGCCAGTTGTCAACGGTTTAACTTGTTGATACAGGTTTTCTCTTTGAGTGTTTAGTTCTAAGAATAGAACAGAAAGGTAAACGCCGATAACGGAAGAAAAAGGCACTTAAGCCTCTGCTGAACTGATTTTAGGAATTGAAAACAAGGCCTATTTCAATGACACCTTGCAGCCTTTAGTATGCAATACCAATTTATCTACAGTCCCTCGACAGCGTTGTGTGGCTTTACGTCTGCGAGGGAAAATCATTTAACCGCGTCGATACAAGGCCCTTGAATCTCTACATTTATAATTTATAATATAAACAACCCAGAGTGGGTTGATTTTACTCTTTGCAGCTGCAGTTTAAGTAATTGGATCCATCCTCATGTTGCTGACAGTACTTTAACATCCATTTACGCTACATTTTATTTCCCCCTACGAAAAGCAATGAGTATCCTAAACATTGTTAAAGTTGTCCAGTGCACAAAGCAGCCCGACGCCCTCCTACTCCTCACAGCAAAACATCTTATTATTTGACGTTAACGGAGCAGAAATGGGACATTGGTGCCACATGATTTGGTATGTGAGGTTTTAAGACACGATGTTCGCATGGAAGACAAATCGCAGAAATAATAACGATATTCGCTGCGTCTCATTTTTAGCCTAGAAATTACGATTCGGTTTGTTGTATCCTCCAGCCCCTCTTGAAATGATTAAAAATCTAAAAATGCTTTAACACCTGAAGGCATCCCAGATTCTCTGGCTTATTTCTTACTTCACTGAGTACCCTGAGAGTAAAGCCTTGACAGATCCCACCCCCGCTTAACATATCCACCCCCCCCCCCCCTTCTCTCCCTCTCTTTGCCTATCTCCCGCTCCTGCTCTACATACCGAAGAACCAATGGCGTGATTCCAGGAGTCTCCGTGTGTCTCACAGAGATTTAAGGCACGCTCACTAGCTGTGTATGTTGGGCTCAAACCAGTGTTTACTGTGCAGGGCCTGTGTGTCATGTCCCCCCGCCCGAAAAACGTCTCCGTTGGTTGTTCGTTTGTAAAGATAATCGAAAAATGTGTCGTGCAGAATGCGTTAAAAGTGCATTAATTGGTCTAATAGTTTTGTGTACCGTATTTATGGGTAGTGAAGCATCCATTTGAATGCCAAACACTGATTATCAGCTCCTTTTCAAGGGTTATGGTTTGTTAAGTCCCCAGAGTCTAATTCAACACAACAGTTGTAAAAAGCACTTTACTGTGTAGCATGCACTTAAATGGAGTTGGGGTTAGGACCAGAACAAGCTTAGAGAAGCACACCTGAAGTACACCTGCTTCTGTTTGTAAGATTTAAAAAAAGTGACTGACATTATTCACAGAATGCCAAGAGGAGTGTTGACGTTTTGTCGCCGAGATATTTGCTAAAACAAGCGTACCTTGCAGCTGGTCCCCTCCTGTCCTGTCTCGTGATACTCGGTACCTCAGGAGGGGACAGTGAGTCACTCCAGCGTCTATTCTGCCCTTCAGGCCAGAGAACAAAGAAGTAAGGCCACCAGATAGCTGCCCCGACTCCCTAAAATGAACAGTTTCATCCAAACATTGCGCTGCACTGAGCACACAGCCCTGTGTTACACACAACACGTTAGGGTTATGTGATTTCAGTGTTATTTTGACCGGCTGAATGTAGTTGTATTCTACAATAATTGTCCTGCTGTTGGTTGTTATTCAATTTTTAAAAGTTGAATAAGATTATGTGGACAGGTTGCCCCTTTAAATAGGAGAATATTTATTGTCGGTACCCCGCGAATTGAACCGCCGCACGTTACCGCGGTCATACAGCAGGTTTGTAATGAAGTGGAGGAGTGATGCATATTTTATTATCAATAAAATCTAATGTTGAGGTCGGCAGTTATCCTTGGTGTCAAAGCAGAGGATGGGAGTAGCACGTGTCTAACTGGCTGGTGTCGCTGTCAGCTGCCAGTGGGAGTCTGTCTGTAAAGCCCATCTTTCCCTGTAGACAGCAGCAGCAGTGACTGGGATTGAAAGATCAGCTGTTACCATAATGAGAAGAGAGATGAATAAATTATATTTGTACGGTTGGTTTGTTCAAACATGCGTTTAGCCGTATATCTGCCTGTGAATCAATCATTGACAATGTTTTTTTTTCATTACATGGTTGTTAATTTGTAATGTTTTGCTCATCTCTAAATGTAATAAATCATTTTTTTGTATTAGAGCTTCACATTTGTTTACGGTTAAGGCCTTGAAGTAAAATACATTTTTTAGGAAAGCATCCAATCAACTGAATGATCAACCTGATGGGAGAAGACCACTCAGATCAAAGGCTGCTTTGAAGCCATTACCTTCATGGCAGCAGTGATGCTGGTGGTCTTCTACATGCTGAAGAAGCAGCATCTGCTACATAAACACCACGACCCGGCTCGTGCAATCGAGATCATCAATGTGGACGATGAGCTCGGCTGTATGTCAATAAAGCACACAGAAGTCTAGATTACAACATGCACAGAGGGACAGTGGCCTCATTCAACTGTGGTATTGCCAGACGTCCTCTGACTTCCGTTGTTCCTGACGTAGTCTTATAGAAATTGTGGCCTCTAAGGAAAGCAAACATGCAACAGTTTTGTGTTGTATTTAGTTTGTCACTAAAACAGAAGCGTCCACTTCAGATTTACTTGTATATTCATAACCCACATGGAGCATTCTAGATGCTGTTCAGTAACTTCATCATTATCTGTACCTCCAGGTAATCAAGTCAGACACTTTCAAGCACTTGAGGCACCTTGAGATCCTCCAGCTCTCCAAGAATCAGATCCGTCAGATTGAAGTCGGAGCGTTCAATGGCCTCCCCAACCTCAACACGCTGGAGCTCTTCGACAACCGCCTCACACTGGTGCCATCACATGCCTTTGAGTACCTCAGCAAGCTGCGGGAGCTGTGGCTGCGCAACAACCCCATTGAGACTCTGCCGGGCTATGCCTTCCACCGCGTGCCCTCGCTTCGTCGCCTGGACCTCGGGGAGCTCAAGAAGTTGGATTTCATCTCTGACGCAGCCTTCGTGGGCCTCATTAATCTACGCTACCTGAACCTGGGGATGTGCGGGCTGAAGGACATTCCCAAACTGACGGCCCTCGTGCGTTTAGAGGAGCTTGAACTGTCAGGAAACAGGCTGGAGATTATCCGACCAGGTTCCTTCCAGGGCCTGGTGTCCCTCCGTAAGCTCTGGCTGATGCACTCACAGGTGTCCGTCATCGAGCGCAACGCCTTCGATGACCTGAAAAGCCTGGAAGAGCTCAACCTGTCGCATAACTCCCTGCACTCCTTGCCCCACGATCTCTTCACACCGCTTCACCAGCTGGAGAGAGTGCACCTCAACCATAACCCGTGGATCTGCAACTGTGATGTCCTTTGGCTTAGTTGGTGGTTGAAAGAGACAGTGCCCAGCAACACCACCTGCTGTGCCCGCTGCCATGCCCCTCCATTCTTGAAAGGCAAGTACATTGGGGAACTCGACCAGAGCCACTTCACCTGCTATGCACCGGTCATCGTGGAGCCTCCTACAGACCTCAATGTCACCGAGGGTATGGCCGCTGAGCTCAAGTGTCGCACGAGCACCTCGACAACGTCCGTCAACTGGATCACCCCCAATGGCACACTAATGACCCACGGCTCTTACAAGGTGCGGATATCCGTCCTGCACGACGGCACGCTCAACTTCACCAATGTCACCCTGCGAGACACGGGGCAGTACACCTGCATGGTCACCAACGCTGCTGGCAATACCACCGCGACTGCTGTCCTAAATGTCACCGCCGCGGATGCCAGCGTGAACTACACCTACTTCACCACAGTCACAGTGGAAACGGTTGAGACCCCAGGAGACGAAGACTCCGCATTGGTCGCCACCAATGAGACATTCATCGGTGTTCACCCTGGGCCCACGCCCTCGGGTCATCTGTGGCCCGGAGGCGTTCCTACAACTGCCTCCTCCCTGTCAGCAGGCTGGTCCTCCTCCTCTCCACGGGCCACCCGACCCACCTTCACTGTGCCCATCACTGAGCCGGGCTTCTCGGGCTTGGATGATGTCATGAAGACCACCAAGATCATCATAGGCTGCTTTGTGGCCATCACCTTCATGGCAGCGGTGATGCTGGTGGTCTTCTACAAGCTGAGGAAGCAGCACCAGCTGCATAAACACCACGGCCCTGCCCGTGCCATCGAAATCATCAACGTGGAGGATGAGCTGGGGGCCGGGGCCAGCGGTCGAGGCAGCGGCATCTCGGGAGGCTCCACAGTGACGCAGAGCAGAAGCAGTGGAATAGTAGGAGGCCAGAGCCTCAGGCTACACCACCCGGAGATAGTCAACCTGCCGAACTTGGCCCGATCGGAGCACCTAAACCACTACTACAAAACTCATCACTTCAACAACAACATGATGGGCCTGGGCATGGGCCCGGGGTCTGGCGTGGGCCTCAACAACAACAACAACCCCTCGCCTTGCTCTCAGTCCCAGAGCACGTCCATATCCTGTTCCCAGGTTCCGACCAGTGGAGGAATGGCCACAGGTGGCACCCTGCCCTCCTCTGTGCCCCTGCCCCAGTTGGGTCTCCACAGTTCTCTGAAAGGCATTATGGGGAAAAGCCAGAAAGAGCCCCTTCTTTTTAAGAGCAGCTCTAAGGAAAATGTGCAAGAGACTCAAATTTGAGCAAAAGCGAGAGTGAAAGTAAGAGGTAAGAAATAACCAACGCCCGGTGGAGAGAGTGAGACAAAAAGAGCCGGGTATGTGAGACTGATTGTAGCCTACAGTCCAGAGAAGATTATTTTTCACACAAACCCTACTTTGTGTTGTCAGTCTGTTGACAGAAAGAAGCAGATATGAAGACTGAAGGTGGCAGAGTTTGGTATCTGATCAGCACTAGTCCCACCAACAGCATCCGCCCATGGTTCTAAACTTACTCAGACGCAAACATATACGATGTGAACCACAGCAGAATCATTCCGATTCCCGCGCAGCCTGCTATAGTCATTTCCAAAGTCAAGATCAAACCAACATGTTTCATTTGCGTCCACAATCAAAGTGGAAAGCTGTGAAATGAGCAATGAGCCTCTCTAGGTTTTCTGCACATTTATTTCCAGATACATTCGGTGTATATATTTGGAGGGAGACGTACTATTGTCCGTAGAACATGTTGTCAGATTAGTGTTTGGCAGAGAAACTGAACAGCAAACAATGGTTTGGGCGAGCGGAACGGTGCCGGGTTTCCAGGATGCACTAAAACAAAACCGAGGAAGCTAAATTAGAGCAATGCAGCGATTCTGTCCGGGACACGAGCGCCAGAGTAATATATTGCTGGGAGATAGAACAGCAAATGGTATTTTCTTCAGAGCAGTTTCACTCTCACACTCTTTTTTTCCGGTTCACACCGTACTGTCTTGGAGAAGCAGATTGGTTATCATGGGAGAAGAGAAATTCCATGGCATATACAGGACAAAGAGAGCTACAAAAATAATCAAAAGTACATATTATATATACCGTAAATATATTTTCATTCAAAGAAATAAATTATAAAGAATCTTTATCAGGCTTCTGACTGAAAACTACAACGTCTGAAGTATATATATTTTAAAAAAAAGACACAGCTGTTGCAGCGGCCCTCCATAACAACTTTCCAAACTTGGAATAAGATGGCCGCTCTGACTGTGCTGCATAAGGACGCGGGTAGGACGGTGGCATCTGTTGAGAGGGAGCTAAAAGAAAAACCTGGCAAAGTGTTTGAGTGAATATATTTTGGTCTCGCCTTTTTTTGTAGCCTCACAGAGTGTTTCCCCTCTCCTGTCGCATTCACATGAACAGGGTCTTTGGAGCAGGGAGATCTCTACTCTACCGCGAAAATATGAAATATGACTACAGCTCGTCATGATTTGGTATACAGTATAGCTACAGCATTAATAATAATAATCATAATGGTAATAATGATAACAGGCGTTATTTGGCAGAATTGTCTTTTAACGATGAACACATTAAAATGGTCAACAGTAAATTAAAACATGTGGAAATAGTTTACTGTGCTTACTGAAAAGGTGCACATGCTAGTTTAGCATGTTCTAAAAATCCATATAATGTATCACAATGACTATATGACACATTATTGTTATAATGTTATCATTATTATCATCTGTATGACTATTATTATTACTACTTGTGCCTACAAATAGCTGAGAAGTACTGTTTTTTTCATTTGTATATGACACTAAAGTAGTTTTGTGACTGATCTTTGGACTTTGGCTAATCGATGGCACTGGGACGGACTCGGTGTGCCACTACATGAAATCCACCTACATTAGCAGGAAATAACCTGGCCCTCAAAATGGATTCCTAAGTCCAGTCCTCACTGACTCGTCTGCTCTGGTGTCTCAAGCAGACAGGACCCCCTCATGCTATCGGGCATTAAAGACAGGACACGGACCTTTGATGAAGACTGCTCCTTCGCAGGGGGATTATCTCACAGCTGTATCTCAGTGTTATCGTTTATGAGTGGATTTCATGGCAACAGGGAGCTAAATGGACGACAGGCATTGCCGAGAATTTTTAAAGGTAAGCAAAGCTCGTTAGTGAGAGAGAAGGTGGCATACAGTACAGTATACAGTGGTGAGTGGATTCTTTTCTAAAGAAAAAAGACAATTAATGAAAAAAATATAGAAACTTATAGATCTCTTTTAAAAAAATATATATTATGATGTGTTTTTCATTTTGGGTTTTTATCTGGTTTGATTATTTCTGTTTGTTTTTTTTAAATCAGGTGATATCTTTATTGTAATATTGTTACTGTTATTATAATTAGCTAATTACACTGGTTATAATTATGAGAGATGTTCTGTTAGAAGAGGTCACTTTGAAAATTAAAATAACCTGGCACATAAAATGGCAATTGAAGTCTGTGAAACATTGATGTTTTTTTCCTTTCCTTTTTGTTATAATCGACTTTAATTGTAGTATCACTGTTTGTATCCCTTTGGCTCTGTTTGAGATGAGACATAGCGAATGTGAAACGGTCAGACCCGAGTCCTTTTATTCTGCACAGGGGGAAAGGAAAGGCCCGGCTCTGGTTTACAAGCTCACCCAGACTCCCCCCTGTGCCATCCTGAATGTCATTGCGCTGTGTCAACACCTCGTTGCCATGACTACACATTAGGACAAATGCGGCAAACGGCGTCACCATCGCGTTGCCCCCCTCGGCCGTCACGTTCGCTTTAGGTCGGGCGTATCTCGACGAGCCGGCCCGGGCGTTCCTTCAACGGTAGCAAATCAATCAACCTCAGCATGGTACCCATATCCTCGCATACCCCCCCCCCCCCCCCCTCCCCCCATCCCCACCTCTCCTCCCCCACAAACCTCAACATCCTGCCATCAGGTTTCCCTGGCAACTGTTGCCGCTGCGACAGCCCTTTTTCGCGCGGCCTGATTTTTGGCTCGAAAGCAAAAAGAGGGGAGCAGACTGTGTCGACTAGTATCCATGTGTGCGCCTGCAACTTCCTCACAAATATCAACCGTGTGTTTTTTTTTGTTGATGTATTCTTTTTTTTATTTTTACATCACTAACTGTTTTTTGCACCACTGACTTTCTGGCAGTGAATCGTTCAATTCGCGTCACGCTGTCCTCTTGGTGAGTTTCATTTGCAAAAGGCCCCACATCGCTGCTAAACGCATCTCTGCGCCCCACACTCGTGATTAACACTCACACACCCGCATCAGTCATTAACATATTCCCTTCCCAGCGCGAGGGATCCGTATTCCCCTCACAGGTTATTTACATATTCATCTTCCTCTGTGTGTGCAAATAACGGATGCATTATCGTGTTGGTATGCTGGTGGGTGTGCGCGCCGTGTGCGCGTGCACGTGCGCGTTTGTGTCAGTTCCTGAAAGCAAGGACTGTTAGGAAAAAAAAAAGCTATTTACCCCCGTAATTCCTCAGATACCGCGTTCCCCCGCCCACCGCCTGTAGTAGCTCATCGCTTTGGAAAGCAACGCGTAGCCCCTATAGCACCTGTGAAGAGGCACAAACCAGAGGCCATGTGATTGAAGCTCGCTGGTGGAGAGAGCGGCGGTTGAGCCGGAGACACGCAGGCACAGTGCTGCAGTGTCTGAGTCACAGAGCAACGAACACACTCCCAACACTCTAATGGAAATGCTGTGTTTACTGTGCAGGAAGGGACCCGCTCATTCACCCATTCAGGGAATAGGTGAAAAACACCGTAATATACGTGTGTGTGTGTGTGCGTGTAATGACTAGTTGGTTTGTTTTGTGCATGCAGTTGTGAATTACAAAATTCCTGTTACTGTTGTTACACGGTCAGTGTGTGTGTGTGTGTGTGTGAGTACGTGTTGAGGTGGGCTCACCCCGGCGAGGTTCTGTGATGAGGGAGGAGGGGCGGTCAGACCTTCATTTTAAATCCCCAGTTTAAACCAGCTCTCTCCCTCTGCTTCAGGCTACTTTTTGCTCCCCTCACTAACACTGAGGTAAAAAAAGGCCTCTTCGCTCAGCAGCCCCCCCCCCCCACACACACACACACACACACACACACACACTCATCTCGATCGCTATGCATACTGGGATAAACACCTCAGAGGAAACGTGCGTCTCCTGTTAAGCCAGTATCCCCAACCTTCTTATCTCTCTATCATCCGCCACTTGCTAATCTGGGGTCAAAGGTCAGTTCCAGGGGCGGCTTATGTCTAACGGCACAACCTCAGCTAGCCAATCAAGGTTAATGTTCGCATTTTGCATCGTGCCATTTGTTTTTATTGTTTCAACCCGGCTGTGCTGTGAACAAGGGTAACACCTGTTGGTGAAGCTGAGCGACTTTTAATGTGCATTTTTCAGCGGCTGTATTTATGGTTAATCGCCTTGACGAGTGATTTGACTTTTAGTCATAATCATAACAATTTGCCACTGCTCTCGGGTGGCGCGTGAGGTTTTGCGCGAGCGCAGATATGAGGGCGGTCCAGGTTGAGTCTGCCGTTAATTGCAGCCGTACTTGTTCCCCCCCCCCCAGCCCACCTCCCCCTGGAGGCGATGTCGCACACGTGTTAACCTCGGCGCTACAAGGCCGTGTGAGCTGCCGCGCGGCTAAATTCATTTTCTGTCACACCGCCCTTTTAAAAATAGCATCGAAGCGACAGCGGAGCTCGATGCATTATTGATACACGCGGTGTCAATGATGCATGGCGGCGCTGGTGCTAATCCTCTCCCAGCTGCACAGGACAAGAAGGTCCAGCTGACGGGAATGCAAGGTTTTTTTGCTTTTATTTCTCACGCGGTCATCAAAACGGTGCGTCGGGCTCACCCCCCCTCCCCAACCACCCTGCAGGAGCAGCCATGTCTCGCTATTTGCTGTGCTCCTGGTGTGGAGGCCGGTTCGACGGCACCGGCCTTTAGATGCCCGGGTCGCAAAGCAGAACTTTTTCTTTCGTTTGCCTCATGTTGCGTCTGCCGGGGCTCGAGATGAGATGTGAGCAGAACTTTTTCTGTGTCATCAGTGTGAGCGGCCTGAAGCCACTTATCAAAGCTTATCTCACGTACGCACACACAAGCATGTGCATGTGTCATCACACACACACACTCACACACACACACACCAACACTGACTGAGTGATTTATTGATTGAGGTGGTGCTTTCTTAAACAATTTGCAGCCGAGTGCACTGGAGGTCAACGCAAACCTCTCCACCTGCCGCCGCCGTGCTTCAGTTTTACGAGTGTGTGCTTTATATCCTGTGAAGGTGTCCTTAATTTCGAGGATGGCCGTGACATTAGCGCACGGCTTATTTCCTCGTTGCCTCGGCAACCACGTTGTTGGTCACAAGATGTCCGTCGCGGTCGTCCTGCGAGCCCTGAGCTGTGTGCAGTCGGGGGGGGGGGCGGTTGTCGATGTCGGCACGCGCTGTGACGTAAGACTGATGAGTGGTGTCTCATCGCAGATGACTATCTCCTCCGTGTCACTCAGTTGTGGATCATCGAGCCTGTGAGCTGCTGCTCTGAAGAAAAGGGAGACAAAATCCACACAGGCGTTGAAACAGCAAAACGGGACCGTGTAGTTGTAAAGTACAGATCGATGGAATCCGTAAACCCGGACTGCTCCTAAACAGAGAGCCTTTCACGGACGCTTTAGAAAGGAGGACATCACTGTCAGAGGAAAACTTGATTTTATTTTACATATAAATAGTTGGGCTAAGAAGCTCTACAGAGCCAAACAAAATTGCGTTTTTGTGGACGGCGCGAGGTTTTTCGCCAGAAACCGCCCGACTTCGTGGCCTGAAGCGGCTGCGCGGAACACGTGATGTGTGCTGACGCTGGGACTCGTACCCGAAGGTCCTGAACCATTGGTAACTACTAAAGGATGTGCTGACCCAGCAGCCGCACTCCTCTCAGAGGACGAGCTCACTGTTGAGTTTCCAAACGCACATTCCACCCCCCGTCTGCAGAGCCTCCCCCCGGCTCCCAGATTTACCGTTTATGGGCACCTTGGCTCAGCATCATAATCACACTCTGCTGTGTCTGATGTTTGTTTGAAGCTCGGCGGGGGGCCACCGAGTACGTTTCGCCGCTTTGAAGTGTAAATTCCGGTCTGGTTGGAGCACCGTATGGAAGGCAGTGGGGAGACAGCAGCCGCCATGTGGATATAAGCTGCTGGGAGCCCTTATCGGTCTGCCGAGGTGGCAGAGGCCCAGGAGGACGGGAGGTCAAGCCCAGATTTGGACGTAGAACAGCGAGGGGTCAGAGGTTGTCTGGGCTCCGAGAGGTGAAACCAGAACAGGAATCGGCGTGGCCTGGATCCGCGCAGGAAACAGTAGTGAATAGTCGTCAATAAGAAATCACCATCTCCATCACCCTCTTTTTGCCCCCCCCCCCCCCCCCGGGTTAACCAGCGAGGGACGCTGGCTTTATTATGGGTGGTGAATAAATTATCCCGTCTGGGCCTCAAGGACCTCATTTTATGGCTGCTCTCATCTCTGCTCCCGGGCTGCGTGACGCCCAACTTTATAATTATATTTTAACCCCCCGCCCCCCCCCAGCGACGTTGGCCGCTCTGAGCTTCTGTGCCCCCCCCCCCCCCCGGGGCTCGGCCCACTCGCCGTGTGGTCGGCTTCGGTCGCCTCGGGCCTCCTCGCCCCCGCGGCCCCGGAGGACAACGAGGGAGGAGCGGCGGGGACGGGAACGGAGGAGGTACAAAGGGTGAGGCGGGGGAGAGGGGGGGGAGACGGATCGAAAAGAGACGTGGATGACGGGAGGAATGAAAGATGACACATCACGTCACTCCACGTCTGTGTAGGTTTTAGTCCGAGTGTGTTTGCATGCGTCACGCGCCCAGTGTGTGTGTCCTCTGCACCAGTGGTGTAAGTATGCATATTTATGCATAACGTCCGAGCGAGTTGCGTGCGTACTTGTGTGCACTCCGGTGCACACGGCGTCCGTGCTTGTGTGCGGCAGAGATGAGGAGGTGAAAGGAGGAAGGGCCGCCGCGTTGCTTATATGTCACCCGGCGCCGGAGGGGAAATGACTCCCTCTCTGTCCCCGACCCCCGGGGGGAGGAAGAGGAGGACCGCCGCCGACTTCTCCTGCTCCACTGCTCTTTGCTCACTCTCTTCCTGGGAAATGTTAGCTAGAGCTTTTCTCTCTCTCTCTGACCCCCCCCCCCACACACACACACACACACACTCGTTTGCTCACGGTAGTACGTCTCGCGTTATCCCCTTTCCTCCTCTTGTGCTTCTCATCCCGTTAAACCTCCTGTTCCCCTCCTCCGCTCTTCTCTACCTCGTGCTTCCTGGCGCACCGCTCGCACCTCCTCCTCCTCCTCCTCCTCCTGCCATTTTTCATCCCCCCTGCAGCTAGATGTCAACTTGTGATTCTCTATTAACCCCTTGAACCCCACTAACCCGCAC